GTGACTAACAGGTGCTGTAGGTACCTTGGGAAACACTCCCAAGAGCTGCAGCCCAGTTAAAACTGTTGCTGTCTTTCCTCTAACTTGCACATTCATAACAGGGACACGTGGTCACGTTCTCAAAACACATTTGAAGGTGCCGTATTGACACTGATTCATTCACATTTACAGCACTTCTGTGCTAACATTATCGAGGTCACTGTGACACCCAGAGGGTCTTGCCAAACCCCTCTGCATCAGAGCAGCCTAACCTCACAGGGCTCTAATGAAAATATCAGTGTCCCTTGGTGCCAGAACATTCCCATCGCTCAGTCTGAGCACAGCCTGGTCCAGCAGATTGAGGTACCCCAAGATCATGCCTTTTAATTAGCTCATTACCCAACTAACAAAAGAATCCCCTATCAGATCAATACTTTCTTTTGTGTCAGCAGCAAATCATCATCATCATCATTCATAGTTTCCAGAACTTGTGATCTCTATGCATACAAAAACCTTTTGATAATCCCAGGAGACATGGAATTCCTGACCTGTTTTTTTCATTAAAAACCTCTAATTTGAGCAGCTAATTATTAGTTAACTTGTGATCCTCCAAGCAGGGGAGCAGTCTCCGGGAGGCACACAGCCCACCTGGCAGCTTGGTCAGTTTTGGGGAAGTTCCAGGGGGCTTTGGTGCAACTAGTGTATCTCTTCCAGAGCAGCCCCCGTGCCACATCCCACAGGCCATCCACCGGGATTTGCCCCTCGGGTGGGTGTGAAGCATTTTGTGCACCACGGTCTAGTGTTTCCAAACCTTTGGATTAACCAGACATCCGGTTCGGTACCTCACCCTCTGCAAATACCCCGATTTTTGGTGTTTAACTTAAATCTGCTTAATTATTTGAAACATTTTAGTGCTATTTTATTTCATCTTCAAATGAACCGGCTGCATCCAGGTTTTTTGCCCTGCTGGGCGTCTTTGTATGAGTACCAGCGAGCCCATGGGTGAGCAGCTGGTGAGTAGCTGCTAATTAAGGAGCAGAACGAACACCGGGGGGACCCGCGTGTTCCCTGGGCGGGATCGCGCTCCGGTGACCGCAGGGACTGCAGCGCCCGGCAGCGCCGCCAGAGGGCGCCAGAGCCCCCGCCCAGCTCCCGCGGCACC